GATTAAGTTTCCAACACATGCTTTTGAAGGAACCATAGCACTCTTATTATCAGCCAGAGTGGGGAACATAATCATTCATGAGGCAGCTGGGAATGTGGCTTAGTGGTAGAATGCTTGCCTAGCATGCATGAAGCCCTGGGTTCAATTCCTCAGAAAAAGCCAGAAGTGGTGCTGTAGCTCAAGTGGTAGAGTGCTAGCTTTGAGAAAAAGAAGCTCAAAGACAGTACCCAGGCCCTAAGTATGAGAATCATAATCATACTCACAATCATAATAATTCATGAGACATTGCATGAAGTAATTAGAGGATTTTGCTTTAGTTGCTCCAAACTAAACATGGCTGTAGTTTCACCTAGCAAAGGTGAGACTTGACCCAAAGGAACAAATAAAAGTCATTAAAATCCAATTCAATACACTGGGAGATTTTTTGCTTTTATTTTGAAATAACACTGTAAAATAACTCTTTGTATACACTAAACTTTTTCCATAACTTGAATGAAACATGCATCCTGGAAAATATACGTCATCTAACTGAGTTGTGACCTGGAGAATTAAATGCAACTCTCAACTCACCGCCTCTGTCTCTCCTGAGAGTTCAGGGCCAAGTTCTCACAAGGGAATGTTTCATTAACTTTGCTGCACTGAGAATTGATTCTTCTTGGCCCAAATTCTCATGATCCAAGGCACAAAACCAGAAACAGTGAGTGAAATCATATTTGGGTTGAAGGGCAATGACTGACATCCAGTGCATGGCTTTCATTTGACACATTCTGTGGAGGCCAAGAGCAGTATCTATTTGTTAAATGTTGCCTACTGGAGTTGGTTACGACCTTGAGGGTTTGAGGTCATCTAAGGAGGGTGCTGATGGAGAAGCACCAAGGGCAGGGTCAGGAACCTTGACATACAGAGAGGACCATGGGAAGGAGAGAAGGAACAAAAGAATTCCAAAGAATCCAGGGTTATATGACATCTCAAGGAAAGGGTTGAATAAAGATGAAAATAATCAATAATATTAGTGGAGAATTTTATAAGAGAGGATCTGAAGCTGGGCGCCGCTGGCTCACATTTGTAATCCCAGCTACTCAGGAGAGTGAGGTCTGAGGATCATGGTTCAAAGCCAGCCTGGACAGGAAAGTCCGTGAGATTCTTATCTCCAATTAACCACCTGAAAA